TTTTTTTTTTTTTACTGTCGATGTTGTCAGATTTTATGTATAGTATACACAGCAGGTGTGAGTGTGTATTTGCCTGCATGCGTACAAGTGTTCCAGTCAGTGTGTGTTTGTGTTTATGAGAGAGAGAGAAGGAATCTGGGTTCACCTGCTGACTAACAGTCTGGGGGAGTTACCATCCAGGTAGGCTTAACTCTGACCCATATAAACAAACAGGCAGCTGGACGGAGCTGCAGAGCTTGTGGCAAACACACATCTGTTAGATACATGAGGAAATACAGTCACAGTCCCACTGTCCCCGAAACATTATGAATGATTCACATGATCTGTGTCGTCAGCTTGTGAGGAGAGAAATAGATTCATTCATTGTCAATAAATATGGTTGATTAATCGTCTACATCAAACTGTGAACCGCCTGGAAAACATTATTTTGCGGAAATATATGAATTTGTATTTATATGTATCCTGTTTCTTTCAGATGTGATTGTTAAAGTCATTCAGCAAAACATGGGGGGGATCAAAATACAGGAATGGAGAAAGGTAGGTTTGATTCAAGTGATGAATTTAAAATGAATACTGTTCCCATTTAACACATGAATTAACAACTTCTTGACAATTCAAATGAAACATTTACTGTGACACCTTTGAGATACTTTGTTTTTGCAAATATGTGTGTGTGTGTGTGTGTGTGTGTGTGTGTGTGTGTGTCTCATGGTGTTACAGCCAGAAAACGTCGTCCTGTTGCTACAGGTACATTTTCACCCACACATTACAATTTTCATTCTCTTGCAAAACACGTCTCTTTTCAGGCCAAAGAGTGAAATAATAACATTTCAATAACGACTCCTCTTCCTACAGTGGATCTACTACGAAGCTGGATTCCTCATATGTTCCACCATCGGTATCTTGTTCGTGGTGCTCACCCCGATCATCGGCACGTGTTTCTGTGTGTGTCGATGCTGCGAGAACTGTGGAGGGGAGATGCACCAGAGACAGAGGAAGAACGCCGACTGTCAGAGAGGTTTCTACACGGCCTCGCTCATCGCCTCCTCCATCTTCATCATGTGAGTCTCCTCTGATGTTATCGTGTGGTGCACCGATGTGATTCTGTTTACAGTCTGTGCGTTACTGCACTCTGATTAGCTGTTTGTTGAATTGTTTATGCATATATATGTGTGTTAATATGCAGTTACACACACACACACACACACACACACACACACACACACACACACACGCTCTGTGGAAGATACAGGTGAAGGGTCGGAGAAATACTATCTGAACTGTGCAGGACAGTTAGGTGTTACTGATATCACTCTGGCTGACGGTGAGAGGCCTCTTGTCTGAATGAGTGCTTTTTACATCACACACACACACACACACACACACACACACACACACACACACACACACATTTGAAGATCTGCAGATCTTATCTGGTCTGATCACCAAAGATGAGTCCTAAAGATCACGTAACTCTTGATCACAGTTTTATTTGATGAAGGTCGGAGGGTTAAAGGAAACATCTGCTGACATCTGGTCTTTCTTTGAATGTCAGGTTACATTTCCTGACTCGTAGTATTCCCTGATATACATTTTATCACCGTTAGTTCTTCAAGAGGAGAAAGAGAGATTTTACTTACTCATTAGAAGACTGTATTCAATAGTGAATGAGAAACAGGCTTCTCCAAATGTGTCTGACACGTGTGAGCTTCATTCAGCTCAATGTCTCTGAGTTCCCTTCAATCTATCTTTATATGACGATGCTTCCCTCTGCTGGTCAATAATGGGGATAACACCCAATCTGCCTCTCTCTCTCTCTCTCTCTCTCTCTCTCTCTCT